AAAAAAAAAAAAAAAAAAAAAGTAACGGATCATACTGTCCTTATTCTTCGTTCAACAATGCTATTTACACCTGTTTTTTAAATATGGATGGGTACTTGAAATAAATTATATATTTTTTAATCTTAATTAAACAAATCGATTAAAATATAATTATTCTTTCTCATTTCATATACTTAAAAAGCTTTAAACCACTTTAAAATGACTTCACCTTTTTAAATCTCACATTTTTTTAATTCAAATATGGAGCATGATCACACTGTCTCCAACAACCATATAAAAATGATAATAATAATAGTAAAAATAAATAAATAAATATCTGAGTGGCAGGCATGGTTGGCTTGGCTCCACATCCTTGAATATATGACATCAGGAGCATGACGGTATGGTTAAATACGTAATAATCCATGAAATTAGTGCACTACTCTGTGAGTGTGTGTGTAAAATGATGAGTGTTGTGACTTATTATTAGATGACGCTCACTCTATTTTCCACTGAATCTATGAAATTGTCAAGCTGCCCTGGCAATAAAAAATGGAGCAAAAGTGCCCATGCTGCTTTGTCACATACCACTGCGTGAAAAGCATTTTGTGCTTCACGAGCATTCTTCAATAATTCTTTACCAAATAATGGAGACTTGAATATATACTCAGACTCCGACAAGACGATGTAAGAGACTCACTTTATATATATATATATATATAGCCCATGCCATGTAAAAGGAAATTAAATCCAGACCCACTCAAATACTCAAATCATTCTTCACAAATTTGTTTTTTTGTTTTTTAAATACTGCTGATATATAATCAAAGAGATACTCTTGTCGAGTATAGAAAGGCAAGTACATAGAGAAATTATATAGAATTTTTTACATATACATATATACATATATATATTTATTAATTGAATTAAGTGCATTAAACTCTCCTCAACTTTCTTGGCTTTCTCAATAAACTCTCTGAATTAAGTAAAAAAACATTTAACCCCCTAAATTATTTCAATGGTTGCAAAACGTTAGTGGGCCGTTTGAAATCTAACATCCAAAGAAGACACATGACTCACGTGACTGATAAAAATCTATAAAGACAAAAAGAACCTTATCAAATACACCCATATATACCAGTGGAATAATATATACAAATATATATATATATATATATTACATCCCCTTTCTCTTCAAACAACCTTCACCAGCTGTCCATGGCCGCCACCTCCACCGTCCGCCCATGGCCACCACCGACACCGCCACTGTTCTCTCTGCCACAGAATATTCTTCCCTCACAACCACCTCCACTGTCCACGGCCGCCACCACAACTGCTCTCTCTCCAATCCACCTCCCCCTTTTTTTTTTTTTTTTCCCTCTCTTTGGCCTCCAACTCCGGCAATAACAAGAACTTCAATACCGGTGAGAAGTGGGTCTGTTCTGCAGCGGTAGTGACAGAGGTGCTCGGCGACGGCGAGCTTACCAGAGAACACAATGACTGTTCGCGATGGCGGCGCTGAACCACGGGCAGACGGCAGTGAGTTGAACTGAAACGGCGTCGGCAAGCAAAGATGAACCCACGGGACGGCGAATATTGTTCTTAAAGATGGTCGTGGATCAGAACGGTGGCGGTAACGGCGGTAGGAGTCGTGAAGCTTCAATGAATTACGGCAATGGTGGCGATGAACTTGGAAGATGCCGGTGAGCTTACCGATGAGCAATGGAACTGAACTGGATATGGAGATTTGAGATCGAGTCACCTGAATATGGAGATTTGAAAGCAAACGAGAGGATTTGCTGACACTGAAAATTAGGGATTCGAATTTGGGGGTTCTCTGTGCAACGATATGATGAATATATATATATATATATATATATATATATCCAAACTCAAGACCAAGTCCTCGCCTGCAATTTATTGGGTTCGTTCTCAGCACATGATGCTCTCAATGGAAAGAGACCGTCAATGGAGAGAGACCCAGCACCAAATCCGATCAACCCCAGTATACAAACTGTTTAAATTGGAACCCATTTTGATGTTATAACTTCACAATTTCCTCTCATCTCCTTCAATTTCTTGTTGCCCCAATAAATGTTACTGACGAGATGGACACAGAGAGGAGGGTGGTGGTGGCTGCCGATAGAGAAGAAATACAATTATATATATATATATATATATGTATATAATTCTCCACTAATTGAGTTGTCATTCTCTTATTGGTGGAGAGTTGTTTTTGTCCACCTTAATAAAATAATTCTGAGTTAGAGATTACCATTGTTACATCAGATATATATATATATATATTCAACACCAGGGTTAAATGGTAATTTTATTTTCTGTTAACGACTCTCGGCTAAGTGCAACAAAATGATAATTTAGAAAATTTTACTTATTTTAGGAGATTTCTTACAATCGGGTTATAGTTGAGTTGAGGGTGATTTAATACACTTAACCTTTATTAATTTTATTGCTGGCCATATCTCTTTAAAGCAAATTAAAGTACCATTATTGCGTTCAATTCCACATCATTTTTGATGTGACTAATATATAAAAGGAAATTTCTATTTCATAAAAATTTTGTGGTTTAGAATCATTTCATAATGATAAATATTTGATAATTAGGATTGTGTATATTTAATAATGGTTTCGGGTTTCATTACAATACCACCAGAGAAATTAACTCTATATATATATATATATATTTATTTATTTTTATTGTTTTAAAAAGGTCTTTTAATGGAAGACTATATTATTATCATTTGCTGCAGACGTAATTAAGTTGAATGATAAAACGATCCTTTGGTGCAATCTAAAAATTTATGTGAGGTGGGGCAATAGTAGGGCTTTTATGTAATTTTAGACTGACAACATTAAAATTTTATAAAGTATATAATTAAAAAACATAAAAATAGAATGATTTTATGACAAATTTGTGATGGTTACAGAAGTGTTGTAAGTGGGTTATTTTATGGTATGCATGTCCAACAAGTTTGTTATGACATTTATGTGTAGCATGCGCTTACTTGTCAATTTTGTTTACTGGTATTAAAAAGACGCTCATGATAGATGCTTTTATGTTGTTGCATACGACGTTCTGGGGCAAGGGTTTGTCATGGCATGACTCATTAGACTCGTAAATATGTTAATGAACAAATATTTATAAATAAAATTGCTAAGACTTGTGTATATAAATATTTTTATTAAGTTTGTTTGGATTTATTAACAAATTTCACCTTAAATCTTTATCTCAAATGAGTTAAATTTAACAAGCTAAACTAATCAAATGAGTCAAGTTATAACTTAGCATGAATTAAAACACTTTCGTCTAAACTAAAGTCGCTTGACAACCTCAAATCAGTGGCGTAGTCACAAAGGGACACTAAATTTTTAATTTTTTAAAATTTTATATAAAAAAATTTTTATATTGGTATAATTGTCCCCTCTAAAATTTGACAATGCACGTATATGTACCATATATATATATATAATCAAAAACCTCTAAAAATTGACAGTGCACGTATATATACTATATACATATGTATATATAACCAAAAACTAATTCACGGTTATCTATCAATTATTACTTTTCCAAAAAATATGATATTTTTTTCACTTTTCTAAAATATTATATTCTTTTTCACTTTCCAAAAAAAAAAAAAAAAAAAAAACTCATCAAGATATTCTATTACACTTTTGACTTTATGACAAACAAATAGATTGTTTCTATTACATCATCATCATCACTCTACAAACATTTTTCACAATCCAAATAAAGCAAGCGGAGTTACCAAACAGAGACTCAAGGTAGCAGACAGGTAATATGATATATATTTTTTATCATCTAAATTTTACAATTATTATTTGATATTATAATTTTAGTTAGGAAAATTATTAGTTATTACTATCAAAATTATTTTAGGACTGGTTATTCTTTCAAAATTTAGTTTATGTAATTGTGTTATTAATTATTATTCTGCAAATAAAACTTAGAATAATTTTTTTTTTTTTTTTTTTTGCAGCCCAAATCAATGAAATCACATATTCAACTCTATCAAATTTTTTAATGGATTGAATTATCTGCTTATAACTTATAATAGATTTGGTTATCATGGTTTTTTATTTTTATTTTTTCTACATATGTGATATATTAGGACAATTAGGTAACTGTGTTATTTTCTTTTTCATATCTTATTCTTGATTCATTGAATATGATTTTTTTTTACTATATTTAATTCAATGAATTAAATTTTGAAATAACAATGAATAATGTGAAAAATCATTGTGAATGTACTGAATAGAATTATTTTAAATTTTACATATATTGTTTTAGTAAAAATTATATATATATATAATTGTTATTAAATATATATATTTTAATTTTTAATTGGTAAAAATTGTTATTATATATATATATAATTGTTATTATATATATATATTTTAATTTTTAATTGGTAAAAATTATATATATAATTGTTATTAAATATTGCCCTCGCTGAGGAAAATTTCTGACTACGCCACTGCCTCAAATTCAAATAGACCAAGTCATGGTCGAATTGCTCGCTCAACTTAGCTTGTCACAAAATTATGTACAGTATTTAATGACACATTTAAAATAAAATTTTCATTTACATAATAGTATATTGTTATTATTATTATTATTAATTTATTGTAAGGATACATTAGTTAATTCATCATTCAATTTGTTAAAAAGTCCTTATTTGCACAAATTGAAAAATGTAAGGTAGTTTATTGAACAATAGGATAACTGCGCATTTTGTATATTAAAAAAAAAAGGTTTTTGCACTTAGCCCTAAAATAAAATAAAATATCCTTAGTGGACTGGGCTGGCCTTTCTCATTTATCATTCGAGAAGTTCAACTCATCTGATAAAAAAAAAATATTTGGGCTTTGCATTCAGGGCCTCAGGTCTAATGGCCATGCTCTTTCTGATGATGCTCCAATTTTTTTTTTTTCGGAAAGTTCAATTTACTGAAATTTGAATTTTCTTGACCTTTCCCAATCCATTTTGCAACGGTCATTTTCCTTGGTTTAAGATCTTACCCAAAACACAGAGCAAAATCCCTATTAAGAAGCAGAAACCCTAGAAAGTTACAGAAAAAAAGGTCTAAGGTTTTAGAAAAAAGCAATTCTAAAAAAGTTTAATTCGAAGAGAACCAAACAATGGGGATTTCGGAGCAAGAACAAGTTTCTGATCATTGTCACGATGTGGAAGAAGATGAATCTAACACTGAGGATTGTGATTCAGATGATTCCCAAGAAGACCCCACCTTCGACGTTCTTGAGGAGACTCGATCTAGCTTTTCAAGGCTCTCAATCAAGAAGAAATCCAAATCTCGGTCAGAATCTATCAGAATTTTATATATATGTTTACCTATATATATATATATATATAATTTTGATTTATTACACTAATGGGTATCTTCGTATATGCAGTATTGTCAAGGAAATGGATGATGATGCTGAGGGAGACCTAGATGTTGTAGAAATGGTTGTGCCAGAGCTTGATGAAGCCGACCAGAAAAGTTTTGAGGTTATTCACAAAATCATACAAGGTTTGTCAAAAATATTTATTTTCTTCATTTTTAAAGGTTTCTATATATATATATATATATATATATATATATATTTATATTTTCTACATATAAATAAAAATATCGTCTTGATGTTATGTGTTCCAATGGTGGCAGTTGGGCAAGTAGATAAACTAAAAGTGGATCAGTGTAAGGTTTATTTGAGGAAATACGGGTTAAGGTTGACTGGCAACAAAGATACACTCATTGGGCGCATCAAGGAGCATTTAGAGTAATTTTAGTTTCTGTCACTCTTGACAATTTTGCAGAAATTTATGGTTTTTTTTTTTTTTTTTCAAATCTATAATGAATACTCCAAAATATATTACTAATTTCAATTTTGCTGATTTCAGTATTCTCAATGGTGGGGGAGAGAAGAAGTACCCAATATCTAGCTTTGTATTCAACTGTAAGGGTATGCATTTTACTCTTCAAAGCTGATACACTAAATGATACATTCATATAGTTTATTGATGTATACACATATTACTTGCTGATGTAAACTTAAGTTATATTCACTTAAAAAAAAAAAAACTTAAGTTATACTCCGTATATCCTTAACAGTGGTTAGACAATCCTAATATCTTTTAAGAATTATTCTCAATGGCTTGTTCCTTGTTCAAGATTTAGCACAGTAGATATAACCACATGTGTTTTAGTGCAATTTTTGAGTTTTGCGGCATTCAATGTAAAAGCACACTAGTTCTAGCAATCTGCTTCACATTACTGTGCGGCCTAGTTCTAGCAATTTGCTTCACATTGCTGTGCAAATAATCAGATTTACCATTCAATGAGATTATTTTTAGTTATTTTTCACATCCTTTTAACATCTTAGAGATTTTGGGTAGAAAAAAAAAAAAAAAAATCTTCCAATTAACTTTAATTTTCTTTTCTGACTAATATTGGATTTTGTTCAGGTGATGCATGCATGGGAGATGTTGTTATGTTTGAGCAAAATGTTTGCGAAATGTAAGCTTTTTAAAGTCTCAGATACTTGGATTACTTTAATGCAAACTAGTCACTGTTAACTTGGCAGCAAAAGATGATGAAGATAATCATCATTGGAAATTGCTGTAGAATTCTTCATTGAATGTTAATACTATTATATATGCAGAATGTTGACATGTTGCATAGGCCATTGGTATGTAGTGTTCAATCCCTAATTTCTAGCATTTCTAAATTGTCTTATCATCAGAAATTCTGTAGTGCCACTAAAGAATTTCTGATGCCACATTCATTAAATTTCTACTAGCGAGTGCCCTGTATCATGTACTAGTTTCAGTAGTTTGTACCAAAATTCTGGTAGAGATCTGAATGTAAAAAATTCTAAGTCTCTAGTTGTCCTTTGAGAGCAAGTCATTAATAGAATGAATAATGTCCCAATGAAAGGAAGATTATATCAAAATTTTCAGAAAATTCTACTAGCAAGTGCCCTGCATCATACACTAGTTTGTACCAAAATTCTGGAATGAATACTTTTATAGAGATGATTGTCGAAAATTCTGTCTCTAGTTGTCCTTTGAGACTAAGTTCCTAATGGAATGAATATTATGTATCATGCACGAGGCTGGTAGTTTTAAAATAGGGGAGACAATTAAGTGTCGATTTGTGCTCGTAAAGCAATTGTCGCAATTATGTATCTTTGCAACTTCTCACCATTTTCTAGATGAGCAAGTGTAGCTCATTCATACCTGTTGAAACTTGAATGGGGAACTTATGAGGGCTCAAGTTCAACGAGAGCACTTTTTATTCTGGGATACCCTCAAGTACTTGGTTTCCTATCACCGAAACTGTTCTGACTAACAATCTTCTAAACTTCAACAGGTAATTGTTATACTAAAAGAAATTTGTTATATATTTGGGTCCCTCCACACTCGAACTCATAGCTATATTGATTGTCCGTGTAAACAACCATGTAATAACTACTATGTGTTAGCAAATAGGACCATTGGAATACTTACAGTGGTGCTTCTCCATGTTTGGGACACATTGTTATTACAATATCCAACTTTTACTGACCTGGATTTTGACTTGGTCTCTATTATTACAGTTTTTCCCATTTTGGTTTCCCAGGTTCAACATTGCTTCTAGGAGTGCTGGTGGTCCTCCATGTGGAATGAGAACTGTAGCAGGCCGCATTGTGAAAGAAAGCTATGGTGCTGCAAAGCAACAGCATACATTTACGGTAAGAGCTATAACACATCCAACTTAGATTAAAAAAAAGTCCAAGACAAAGTGTAAACTTGCCAAAGTGTTTAATTTGCATTTAATCATATAAAGGAAATAGTTAAAAGTGTAAACTTGCCAGATTTATACTCTGCCAGATTATAATGCCAGATTTATACATTACTCTGAGCTTAGAAGTCGTCTAACCTTTTTTTTTTTGGTAAGTAAAAGCCATCTAACTTGGTTTGGGGCAGGTCAATGACAATGCATAGACACACCAAACTGTCGCTTATATTATATATCGCAATAATGCTAATAACACCTGTTGCAATAACAGAGAATATTTGGTTGTATGTAGAAGTTGCATTACTCAGTTTGGTTACCATTAATCAATTACATACATTCACGTTATTTTATTGAAATAATAAATTTTTATCAAAGAATTCTCTCCATTGACACCATTATTTAGCTCTGCTGCTATACTCTTTAACTATAAATTTTTTGGTTCAGTTGTAAGCCCTTTTTAACAGAAAATATTGCAAAAACTTTAGTGAAGTGTTAATTACTACTCCGTTCAGATTGAAGTATTATGGAGCAAAGGGGAAAAACCACTCTCTCCACTTCATCCCCTCCTAATTAAGGGCAGAAACCTTTACAAGCTAAAGACAATGAGACAGGTTCATCCCAATTCAAAATTTTCTGTTCTTTTAGTCAATAATTTATCATTTGATGTTGTGTGAGTGATCCTTATTGTCGTCAACGCAGAAATGGGAAGATGAAGGTGAAAGGCAGAAAATTTTGTTCGAAAAGCATAGTAGAGGTTCTCTTGCCCGCTTGAATAGGGAATCACGAATTGTAGAGAAGGAAAAATTGAAGGAACTCAAGGCAAATAGGTGACTTCTTTTTGTTATTTCAGATACAAGTTACTATGGATTTCCAGCAATATTAAACCCTCTATTCTTAAATATTTGCTTTAATCACACACAGAAAAACTGGCAAGCCATTCTCGAGAGTGGAAGTTCAGAAGGGTAAACGAGAAGAGAACAAAGGACAGACATTTCAATCTCCTCAAAAGAAAATTCCTATGCAAAATGAATGCTACTTAAAAACTTACAAAGAGAACAATTATGAAGGTTTCCATCAGAGGCAGCCTAGTTTGTTTTCTAATGCAAATGTGACATCCCATGGTTTCCACCAGAGGCAGCCTAGTTTAGTTCCTACTGCAAACGTGACATCCGAAGGTTTCCATCAGAGGCAGCCTTTGACAAGCATGAATTGTAACCCCCCGAGTACATTTCGAAGGCCTTTGACTCCCTCAAGGGGTCAATTCCGAAGCAGTAGTCATGAACAAAGCATGAAGTCTGGTCCTCCATGGAGTCCACTTCGAAGGCCTTCGACTCCTTCAAGGGGTCAATTCCAAATGCAGCAGGGCTGCGAGCAAAGCACAAATTTTAATGCTTCAAGGATTCCATTTCAAAGGGAGAATCAAGAGCACAACTTGAACTCCAAACGTTCAATGGGTCCATTCCAAGGACATGGTGGTCCTGAAAGGAAGCAATTGTGCCGGCACTATGCTCAAGGAAGGTGCTGGTATGGAGATCAATGCAAGTACCTACACTAGCGGAGAGAGAATCAAAATTATTGTCAAAGGAAAGAAAGAAGGCAACCACATTTTCCTTGACAATGATTAGATCAATCATCGAACAACATCTTGCTGATATTTTTTGTTTGAGCTATGTGGTTCAGCTTCTAGTCTGAACTTCTAATTTTTTGTGCAAGGTTTAGTGGCTCCTTATCAGCTTTTGTGGTATGAAGTTTGAATATTTCAGCATCATTGAGCATTTGAGCTATGTGGTTCAGCTTTCTAGTCTGAACTCACTAATTATTTGAGGAGCACAATGAGACAAGTGAAATAATACTATACTCCCATCCAAATGGAGAGGCCACCAGCTAAAGCAAGTGGGACCCACTCTAGCTGGATAATAGACTATATAACCTTCGTCTCAAACTTGATCAGCCTAAAAATTCATAACCCACTCTAGCTGGATAATATACATATATGACAAAGTTCGCATAATGGTTTTCACTTTAAATAATTGAGCCCGACACGTATTTTTTTTACCTTCTCTAAAAAGAAACAATATATATATATATATATATATATATATATATACTTTTTACTTTTTTTTAAGGATTAGTGGGACCAGGCTCTAATGCGACAATCAAAATGATGATTATAGCCGTTACCAAAAAACAATGATTATAGCCCTCACCAAAGAGTCCATCACGGGCTGGTAAAAGAAAAAAGAAAAAAATATTCATTAAAAGGTGGGAAAATGATCTGTGAAAAAAGAAAAAAATAATCATAAAAAGGTGGAAAAATGATCGTGAAAAAAGAATATTGGAAAGCTCAATAGTTTCCAGAATTAGAGAAAACTTATCTTTATTATTATTATTTTTTTTTTGAGAAATTGACTTATCTTTATCTTGTTATGTAGTATCTTTTAAAATTTATTTCATAATTGATATATTTTTAAAATTTACACTGACTAGATATATCAAATTAAATCACTATACCCTTCAGTAGTCTCCAGAATTAGAGAAAATTTATCTTTATTATTATTATTTTTTTTTGAGAAATCGACTTATCTTTATCTTGTTATATAGTATCTTTTAAAATTTATTTCATAATTGATATATTTTTAAAATTTACACTGATTAGATATATCAAATTAAATTATTGTAACGATTAAATTGTTACTGGAGAAGAAAATTTATTCAAAACTCTATAGAAAGAGCCAATCTCGAATCAAATAGTGATGTTGTGAATACTCTTGAATTTTTGTGTGTGATTCGAATACAAGATGATCATATAATTCTTAAAATTAGATTATTGAGTAACACTTAAATCTATTGAGAAATTTGTAGAAAAAAATCTTTGAATATTTATGATCTATTACTAACATATATGTAATTGTATGTGTGTATATATTTCTATTTGTATATACTCAACTCCTTCCGGTCACAGCACATTACCTTCTGAAACAATTTTTTTTTTCCTTTTCAATTTATTTTAGGAGTGAGCTAAGCATGTGATGGCTATTTTACTTTTCACGTGTAGAAAAAATTTTAAAGAAATTTTAGAGGATCTGATGTGCATGCCAAGCCACGTCAGATTCGATCGTTTTTTCGGGTTAGCCTTCCGCTCCTTTATCATTTTCCAAATACAATTGTCCCCTTCTAATGATGACCGACAAATAAAAAAAAAAAGCTGTACTAAGTCCAAAACCATGAAACTTTCTGTGAACAAAGCATGAAGAACAAAGTTAGATCAATTCTTATCATCTCTTACAGGGCCTTGTATTTGCAGTGTTGATCACCACAGTTCGATTTAATTCGGTTTTACAAGCTTATTCAGGTTCAATCTTATACACTTCTCTCTCTATATATACATGGTTGGAATCTAGTCAAACTATTGCAGAAATTCTATGATGTTCACATTATCTAGTTCTTTTCTAGGGTTTTTCTCTTTTTCATCCTTTATACTTATCGTCAACCAAGATCAATTAACTAGATAGTCACTCTGATCATTAGAAAATATTGTGTTTTGCATGACCAATTAATTGTTTTATCTGTATTTTGTTACTGGTGGATAACCATTTCTTTACTGCTCTGATGCTTTTAAGTTCAAGTCATTCACTACTTTGTAAGAGATGTGTGTGTGTGTGTATATATATATATATATATATGTTTGTGTGTGTCTTATTTGATTCATTAAGTATCAATTGGAAGCTTTTAATTAGTTATGCACTAATTCGTAAGTGAGTGAATAATATATTAAAAGGACTTATGGCTCATTTCTTATAGTTTTCTGCAGATAGCAGCAGATTATAGTTAGTTTTCTATTCTTAATATGAAATTTGTTGAATTATCAGCTACTTTTATAATAAAAATAGAAAAATGATTTTTTCTTATTCCTTTATTTTATCAGAGAATAATAAACAAACTGACTTAGCAAGGACCTTTTGAAATTAATGGGGATCATAGTGGTCATTTTGAATAAAAATAGATTAATGGAAGGGAGAAAAGATAGCCAATGCCAAGTCATTGCAGATAAAAGTCTGGTTGTTTGTTTATGTGCATTGTTATTTCATTAAATTGTTTAGATGCTGAATTTGAGCAGTACTTGACAATCTAATGCAGCTATAGTTTGTTTGAAGACTTCCAGTAATTATCTAATTCTATCTAAAATTACAGTTGGATGGATATTTTAAAATTGGATTTCAAGACAGATAAAAAAATAAAAAATAAAAAATTGGTGGCTATGACATGGACTCTATTAAGTCTCTCTACTTAATTATTGAAGCTAATGCTAATGCTATTTGTTCAGAAGTATTGAATTGCAACATGGACTAAATTACTTTCAACTAATCTCTCTGATAATTAACTAACTCTCAACTAAACACATAGATTAATATTAAAAAGATGAAAGCTTTTGTTGTCTTCATTACTGGTGCTTATGCTCGTGCTAGTTATTTGAATTTTTTTGTAAATTACACTCAAAATTGATTAACTTGCCAATGTTGCAGGATAAATGGCAACAGAAGTGGTCAATGTGAATGAGTTCCAAGAACTGGCGAGGCAAGCCCTCCCAAAAATGTACTATGACTTCTACTCTGGGGGAGCTGAAGATCAGCACACACTAAGGGAGAATGTGGAAGCATTTCGTAGAATCACGTTATGTGTTAAGCTTACACTTATTATTCTTGTTATTGAACAGGGTCACCGTTTTAACATCATCTTTGTATTACATTTCAGTATTCGGCCAAGAATCCTCGTAGATGTGAGCAGAATTGATACATCAACCACTATATTAGGTTACAATACTGCGGCACCCATTATGATTGCTCCAACTTCTATGCATAAGTTGGCACACCCTGAAGGTCTAAATCCTCTTAGCAAGAATTATTGACTGAAGTTTATGTGTAGTTCTGATTCCAGCATTGAATTGTGTTTATATTCCAGGAGAGGTTGCGACAGCCAAAGCAGCAGCTTCCTGTAACACCATAATGGTACTATTATTCTAATGGGGAGCGCGTAATGATGCAATTATTCTAATATGGATGGTTGTTTGTTGAGTTAATGTACTTGAATATAGAGTTGGTCTTAATTGCAGGCATTGTCCTTTTCGTCTACCTGCACTGTGGAGGAGGTTGCAGCCAGCTGCAATGCTGTTCGCTTCTTTCAGTTATATGTAACATTCTCATAAGCTCTTCTAATTTCAAATTTTCTTCATAGAAATTCCATGTTTCTTTAGCATAATGGTCAGAATTTTCATTCTTGTGATCCCAGTTGTAGGAGCTGAATAAATAATTCGGTCTTCCTCTGTTTATAGGTGTGCAAAAGACGCGACATGTCAGCTCTGTTAGTGCAGAAAGCCGAACAAAATGGTTTTAAGGCCATTATTCTTACCGTTGATAATCCTAGACTTGGTCGAAGGGAGGCAGACGTAAAAAACAAGTGAATTTTATTTCCTCTATCTTTTATAGTTTCCACTGCTAGAGCAATGGCCTTCACATATTGGAGTAGTTACTGTACCTAACTTGGAAAACAGTACTGAAATTTAGTATTTAACATTGCATGGACTCTTTCTCATGTTTACTCTGTTATGTTGACACTGTAACTCATGCATCACATTTGTGACATAAATATGATCATTTGTGCAGAATGGTTCGACCACAGTTGAGGAATTTTGAAGGTCTCCTCTCAACCGAAGTAGTCTCTGTGAGTGTAATAATTTTGTTTAGCAATATTTGCTTTTCAACTTACTAAGAAACAATGTGCGAGTTTTATTCTGTGTATGGATCTGATAGGGACTATAGATTTCTCCACCGCTTCTTGTAAAGAAGGATTTATGTATCTCACAACATATTCTATGTTTAGAAGTTGTAATCTTTCGTTCGTCCCATCACCAGTCACTTGATATTTGAAAATTAAAATTTACACTTAGATTTTATCTGTGTGAGTCTTATAGCTAGTTTGATGTAAATATTCTCAACAACAATAAAAAAATAAAATAAAAATAAAATAAAAAGTAAGAAAGAAAAAAAAGAACCACATACATGTATGAAACATGGTCTCAAATGCAGTCCAAGTGAGCACACCACCAGGAGTAAACAGATGAAAATGAAGTTGAGGTTCTCATTCAATGAAAATCCCCTAGGTTTCACCTTTCTAATGTCATTTACATCACTTTTTGATTGTTTGTATCAATTCCTGCTTTAGATAGTAGAATATGCTTGTGATAATTTTGCTACCAGTTTCTGTTTTTACGTGCAGGCGTTTCCTCATTTACACAAGAAATTTGGATGCTTTTATTTTTTTTCTTATGAAATTTATAAGAAGATGTTTCTATATTTCAATTTACTGTTATGAATTCCAAGAAAGTTATTCTCAGTTATGTCATAATTCATATGGCATGAGCTAGCACAAAAGCGCGCGCACCTTCAATGATGGACGTAATCTTGCACATTTGCACTGATATAGGTTTCCTTAGTCAAGCAGATAATCTGTGTAGTGACATGTTTGTGTGCAAAAACATATTTATTTATGTGTATATGTAGGTTTACGCGTGTATGCAATGCTTTTGCATTCGGTTGGATTCATTATTCACTGCTTTTGCAGGATAAAGGTTCCAATTTCGCAGCTTATACAGCACAAAACTTTGATGATTCTTTGTGTTGGAAGGTACAAACCAAGAATCTACTTAGTATTACCTGATATATATGACTTTAAGGAATTGAAAGGTGTTACTTTCGTTTAGGCACTTCCTTTGCTTCAAAATATCACTTAAAATTGTGTGTGGACTGTGTATTGCTACTCGAAGAAGAACCATTCTGTATGTGAATCAGTTAGTGGAGGTGTCT